AGCCTGAGTCCCCGAGTTGCCTGAACTGTTCTGCCGAGTCTGATTTATATTTGTCCCCGCTCTTTTCCTTTGGCAAACATTCCTCATGTGGTCTGGATTCCTACATTCAAAGCATAGTCATTTCCGACAGTCCTTTGCCGTGTGACCCCCAAGATGACACCTCTGACAGATAATGCAATTCCCTCGATGTGGAACTTTGCACTTATCACATCTAATTACATCACCCTGTCCAGCTACCTGTGATTGAGCTCCAAAGTTTCTCGTTGTTCTCCTGTTCCTGTCGTGTTTCCTTCCAAATTTTCGGTCCTCAAACTCCTCTGTCTTCCTTTTTCCTTTAGTCAGTCTCCCAGATCGCACCGCATTGTTTGTGAGTTTTGTAGCAACTTCTACCGCCTCTTGAATAGTCTTCAGGTTGGCAGAGGTTATATTGCCCCTAATTTCTGGGGATAAACCCCAAATGTATCTTTCTATCCGAACCTCCTCTGGTGTCACAAGGTGTGGCACCAGGTTTGCCAATTCTTGAAACCTCGTTGTGTACGTAGAAATATCGTCTCCCTTCATCTCAACGTTCCACAACTCCATTTCCAATTTCTGGAGTTCACTTATGGGACAATATTCTTCCTTTAGCAATTTCTTGAACTCCTCCCAAGGAAGTCGGTTGGCCGCTTCTCGGCCTCTAGTTTGTACTATGGTATTCCACCAAGTGAGCGCTCTGCCTTGCAGAAGGTATGCTACGTACTCAACCATATTTCCCTCAGCGCACTTGCTAATGTGTAAAACGGACTCATTGCTCTCGAGCCATGATAATAATCCTACCGCTCCTTTTGTTCCATTAAATTCCTTGGGATTACAAGCTCTGAAAGTTTTGTAAGTACATTCTCGCGGTGGCCTAGGCTCCGAGTTAGAAGGTTGGTTGGCATTTAAACCAGCAGCCACTTGGTTGACTATGTTAGGGAGTGCAGCAATGAGTTGCTCCGAAGCAACTTGTGCTAAGTCGGGGTTCTCCCTTCTTGGCGGCATTTCTTTGAATCCTAAACAGAATGGAATTTATATGTTTGAGGGTAACATAAAGTGGTAGCTTTCCATAAAATTTCGATGATGCTTAAATGTTTTTCTCTAGTGACAAAGTATAGGAAGATGGAAAAGAATCGATATAAGGCATATTCAATCGCATAACCAATAAATATAATAGAAATTCTTCCCAAAAGATATCATGCATTGATTTTTCGATATTAAGTACAAAACAGAGTTTCTAATTTCCGATCAAAAGAGTAATCCATTCTAAATTATTTCTAAAGCATCATCCATCCAATGACTATCCCTATTGCTAACATCATCATGCTACAACCAAATAGCCACCTATATAATTTCCTAAT